AGGCACTAAATGTGAAAAACGTAATGTACACATTTTGTCGTATAATTGTTGTTAGACATTCTTTATATAACCCAGGTAATTTTTTTTCTAATGCGTTATGATAGAACAACGCACACAAACCCCATACACAGGAAGAAACAAGACCTTTCAGTTAAAACTGAAAGGCGGCTTTCAGTGACTTTTCAGTGCCCATTCAGTCACTGAATGGCAGGTACATTTCAGTGACCTTTCAGTTATCTTTCAGTCACAATTCAGGTACCTTTCAGTCACCATTCAGCGGACACATTTCAGTCATCTTTTAGTGACCTTTCCGTCGTCTTTCCGTTGCCTTTCAGTGACCTTTCCGTCGTCTTTCAGTGACCTTTCAGTCGTAATTCAACTACCTTTTCATCGGCTTTTCATAAGTTTATCAGTAGTTATTCCTCAAAAAAATTGTAAAATAAAATTATTCACATTTTTAAATGTGTTTTCTTATTGAATATTAAATTCAGATAAGGTAGAACTAGTAATGGTTAGATGTTCAGTCGTCTTTAAATTGTTTACTAAAATGTTAAATTGTGATTATTAACTATAACATTTAGGTCTAAATGTAATTTTATAAACATTAAAGATTACAATTCAGCTGTGGACTCATAAAATTCAAAATGATATTCAAATTTCTAATTTGTTTCATGAAAATTGATCTAGAAAAAAAAAATTATTCAAATGACGAAAAATAATATTCGTATCAATTTAATTAACGGGAATAGAATTGTCTTATTTTTTCTTGCTGTAAAATCTCTAAATCTATTATGAATATTTTCACAAGCTTATTCAATTTGATAAGTTGTTAAATGAATAAACAGACTGTCAATCTGAAAAAAAATCAAGGGTATTGGTCAAAATGCTCTTAAAATAAACAAGAAAGAAGTTTTTTTTTTTTTTTTTTTTTAGCTCTAAAATAGTTTTTCATTATTTTTATATCCATCTATCACTGTGTATAATTCGGTTAGTTTTCATGGAAATATTTGAGTTATGAAAGACGAGACAGAATTAATTATTTATGCCTTTTCTGGAAGAAACTTTAACACTGTAAATTTTGTTTCTTAATTGTTGAAATCGCATAATATTTTAGCTTCTAAAGGATATCGTTTTAAAATTATTTTACATATTTGAGAGATACATATTTGAGAGCTGTCGCATGAACAAAAACGCTGTGTCAGGGTCAATAACTCTTCATTTATTCTATTTGAGCAAAGAACACAGAAAAGATGGTATATCCTGCTAAAACCCTCTATTACAATAGGTGTGATATTTTAAGATATTTTTATGTAGAATTCATGTCAAGAACTTGATTTCTCGTTGCGGTGGATCGAATATTTGCAATGTTCCGTGCATGATTTGACCACGAATAAACAATATACAGGGGACACATTCTCAAAGTTTGGGTTTATTTTTTTAACAAGCATATATCCAACCTTTATTTTCAATGTAAAGTTTTGATTCAGCGTAAACTTTAATTTTTAGAAATTATCAGGGCCAAATATTATATCAAATGAACTTGTTCCTTTATCTTTCAAAAGCCCCTTCTATTGCAAACCTTCTACGATTATAACTTTGTGTTGGTTCAAATGTAAGATTATTAATTTTATCACTGTGTGTTATTTTTGCTATGAGGATAACAAACAGTAATAATGCTCAGAAATTCAATAAAACAATACAAATTGTGAACATGGACCTCTTAAGACAGAGATCAGGTGGCAAGGAGTGAGCATCCCCTGTCGACCGCTCACACAGGATTTGTCATGATCGGGAGAACAGAAAAATTCGTAAACAATTCAGTTTGAAAATACACTGCAATGAACTGAACAATTTGCATGAAAAAACGTCAGTTATCATTTAACAAAATTATTGATTCTATTTAGAAACAAGGCCATTTTATCGACCTCAGAATTCGCAAAATTGTGACATTAGATAAAACTGTTGACATCAATTTGTATCATCAATTTATTTGTCAGTTATCTGCCTTCTTTTAGGAATTGTTTGTACGTAGAACATTTTTGCTTATCTAATCAACATGGTCACAATGCAGGTGAAATTGGCATAGTGCTACATAAATAAGTAAAGTAAGCTGACGATAGAGAATTTGAAGTAATCATGTTTATCAAATTTTAGGTGTTATTATCAATAACAAAAACAAAAATAGATTTGAATGAAGGCTTTCCCGAGGCCTAGCTGTTTTTTTTTTTATTTTCTTATTATAAGCAGCCATACCTTTCAGTCCCAATATTACTTCTTGATATAACATTTTTGCAAATAATAGCCTTTGTGTATTTCTTTAATATATATTTAATGGGCTATTTTTTAATTGATCTGTTAGTGATTAAAACATCCTTTCAGGAGAGAGATATCGTCCAATCAAAGACTCAACTCAAAATTGGTTTTTCACCCTCATTTTATCTCTTTGATGCTCCATTTTAGATAGCCACCTAGTATTGCCATAGCACGCTGGGTAAAATAATGTTAGATCAACAGTTCTTGTAATGATAGCGGTTTTCTGCTAACCAAGATTTAACAAGATTAATGGCATTTTTTGCTATGATAATTTTGTGTTTTGTTCGATTTTTCTGTAAAAGTTTAGTGTATAAATGATATCTTTGTCTTTCACGTAAAGCATCGGAGGGAGCCTAACTAGATCACCAAGATTACAAAAATCATATTCTGTTTTTAACATCTAACCGTTCACGGTAGCTCAGTCGGTAGAGCGCTTGCTCCGTGATCGGGAGGTCGCGAGTTCGAATCTCGGCGGCGACAGACCTAAGTCGATAAAAAAAATGGGTAGCAACTGTTCCTTCGCCATGCGCTCGGCAATTTGAAGTGAAAGTTGCGGGTCCTTCGGATGAGACCTTAAAAACCGAGGCCCCGTGACATGGCAGGCGTTGGCACGATAAAGACCCCTCACTGCTCCATGGCCCTGAGTGCCGAGTAAAGGTCAAAATTTGAAGTCCTTCACCGGTATATGGTGACGTCTCTCTCTCTATATATATAATTCTCGAATGGGACGTAAAACAACAGTCTATCAATCAATCGATCAACATCTATATTTAAAGGGTGTATATAGAAAAGCTATTTACAATTTCAAAATTGAAGCAAATATATAATTTTTAAGAAAATTACAAATTGCAGATAAAGTCTCTTTTATTATATATATATGGGTTAATTGTATCTACTTTTTAAACTTTCTTTTCAAATTTTTCTTTTTGTTTTTGCAGAATGTGATTTTGGTACATATGGCGCAAATTGTGTAAAACTGTGCAGTGGAAATTGCCTTGACAATAAAATCTGTAATAATGTTCATGGAGAATGTATGAATGGATGTAAAATAGGTTTTAAAGGAATTTTGTGCAATGAAAGTAAGTATTAAAAAATTCTATCATTCTCTGCTTCTTGTATTGAAATACTGTGCATTGTTGCCATTGCAGGTAAAAAATAGCTGCTTAACACATTCCCCTATGAAAAGCATATACTGTATGTAACCCTCTACGACTTTCGCAGCACAGTAAAGGCTGCAATAAAGAGGCGGGGCCTAATTTTTACGGGAAGTGCTTACTATGACATCACACAAAAATACATGTTCTTCAAATTACCACAAAATGAAATAATACGCTGTTTTAAACTGTTGGATAGCTCATCAATACTTACTATTGCATGTATTTTTGTCGTTGGTTAAATCCCACGCAGCAATATATAAACAGTTCACTGATCGAAATGCACTTGTCAATGTGACGTCATATCGTAAAATTTGACGCAGTTTGTATGCAGTGAGTGGCGGATCAAGTTATATTTTATACAATGAAAAATGTGTTTTGTAATTAAATAAAATATTATTTGCAGATATATAAGAGGCCATTAACTTGGATGGGATGTCTGTTTTATGATTTTATTCATATACTTCCCGTACATTCCCTAGACAAGTGAAAATGCCGTACATTTGTATGCAGATTCATTGAAGGGTAATAGAGGGGTCGTAATAAATCGATATATTGCAAGGGCATACCCTCAATGAATTGTGACAAGCTTTTACACATAAACTCAAGAGGTATGAAGATATTTGAAAAGTGCTGCGAACCTGATGAAATCTTGCAAATGAATTAATTATATCTACATTTAATGTACTTGACCAGCAAAATATTCAACATACGGTCTAACAAATGTGATTTTAGCAATTATATAGTAGAATCTATGTAGGTTCGCAGCAATTTTCACAAACTACAAAGAGTGTTGAAAATAACTATAAATTAAACTAAGATTTTTAACATGGTTATGCCCTTGCAATATTGGAATTTATATATGACCTCAATACTGCAGGTATATTTGCCACATTACGTGACAAATCTAACTAAGAAATATAAATGTCCTGAACATGCAGTTTTCAGCCACATTACATTTGTCCGATAATAGTAAAGGCCTAAAAAGAATCGCCCATCCTTATAAAGAATGTATTTTCTGTCTAAAAAAAATTCGCCTATATTTCCATTTGGCACCTTAACTGTGCTGCGTTGTCATAAACTGATGTCAAGAATATTCAAATGAATTTTGTTCACAGAGATTGGATAGACATGTATACAATCATTTTTGCATTAAAAAATGTTCTGGGAAGTACTATACGTGTATAAACCACTTAACAGCAGCCCTCGAACTATAACCCTTTTGTCGTCTCGTGAATGCTAAAGGCTATTTTTTCCCTAAAACATCCTGACCATTTTACACGTTATGTGATAGACGCATTTTTTTCTAATATGTCGTCTGGTATACTGATTTCAATTGAGAAGAGTTCTTTTTTTTGTTACATATAAGGATATTTTATTCCTAATAAACAGGTAATAAAGCCTAGTATTACATGTATTAGAAATAAAGAAAAGCAAAAATATATACTTTTTTTTATCACATTCATATTTAGTATATTTTAACATCCTTTATTTTCGTATCAAGCTTGCGAACATGGCACATTCGGACTTAACTGTTCTGACGAATGCAGCAAGCACTGTGTGAATAAATCTTGCAATTACGTAACTGGTTCCTGCAATAATGGTTGCATGCCGGGATGGAGGAATGACAAATGCAACAAAAGTAATTTAATTCATAAAATTTCCTGATCATACAGGAATAAAGAACAAGGTATGGTTTCAGTACAAATCAGGCCCTGTATTTGTCTAAAGCATGAAAATGATAATTTACATTCACGCTTTCTAAGTCGTTGAAATTTCATGCAGTAAGATCATACCGATTTTCTCATGGTATCTTTAATACTAGGTGCATTTTCCAGTATTTTCCTAAAAAAATTGCAGACGACATCAATTATTAGTGTAACTTTCTTTCAGATAATACAGACCACATGCATGAGAAATGTGATTTTTCAAAGAAATGTACTCACAATATATCAGAAAATTGAAGTGGGCGAAGGCTGTGGAGGCTTATTTCGTTCATGCCATATTTTTTTTCATTATTTATCACATTCATTTACGTTACTCATGTTTAAGCAAATTTCAAAACCTTTTGAAACCATTAAATGTTTAGGATACAAAGGCCAAAACCATACCTTCCTCTTTACATATATAATTTCCCCCCTATATGTGCTACTCATTAATATTTTAGTTATATATATTGATGATTTTCTTAATTGATTTATATTAATTTTCTTTTGGATATTTAACATTTTGAAAGAACAGTGCTATAAATTAATTGTAGTTTATTATACAAACCAGACTATTTTCATTTATCAAGAATGTAGTAATGGAACGTTTGGAAATATGTGTGAAGAGGAATGCAGTGGAAATTGTTTGAGCAATGAAACTTGTTATCATGTCGATGGTCATTGTTTGCATGGATGTCAGTCAGGATTTCAAGGCGAGAAATGTGACGCTCGTAAGTTTTTTGTTTAATCAGGACACATAGTGTTTCATTTACAAGAAATAAATGATAAAAAGTCATTTTATAATTGTAGTATTTTAAAAGTTTCATAATTATATTTTTTATTAAGCTTGTGGATATGGTACATTCGGAGTAAACTGTTCTGATGAATGCAGCAATCAATGTGTGAACAAATCATGTAATCACATAACTGGCTTCTGTGATAATGGTTGCTTGCCGGGATGGAGGAATGATAGATGCAACAAAAGTAATGAAGTCATTAAACTTAAGGATCATATAAAAACAAATTTACGTAATTTTCCCCGTTCTTAGTGTTACTTATTAATATTTTGCCAATAATTGATAAATTGCTTTTAATTAAAGAAAACATTGATTTACTCTAAAATATAATGGTAACATTTATTTCACAGCGTTGTAAATTGAATTATGTTTCTTACACAATCCGGACTATATTTTTATCCTATCAAGAATGTAGTAATGGTACGTTTGGTATTATGTGTAAAAACAAGTGCAGTGGAAATTGTTTGAGCAATGAAACTTGTTATCATGTGAATGGCCATTGTATGAAGGGATGCAAATCGGGATTTCAAGGCGAGAAATGTGACGCCCGTAAGTTTTGTGTTCAATCAGGACACATTGCTTAGATATGACTAATTTTATATTTAAATTTTGGCTTTCTTTCATGATATATTCTAATCATTGCCTCTACGTGTATTGATTGGCGGATTTATTGTTTTTTTTTTTTTAATTTCTAGCTTGTGACTTGGGACACTTCGGCAAAAATTGCTCGCAGATTTGTTCTGTAAATTGCTATGATAAGTGTGATAATATTAATGGACAATGCAAATGTAAAAGAGGATGGATGGGGAGAAATTGTTCCGAAGGTATATTGCATAAACATTTCTGTATTAATCAAATAGCAACTTCATTTATAATTGTTCATTTGTTAAGATGCATGTTATGTAGTCGGTGGTTCATTTATAGTGTGCTCCTCTGGATATTATGGTGTTAATTGTGAAGAACGCTGCAGTGTGAACTGTCTGAGGAACGAATCGTGTAACGTAAAAAATGGAAGTTGTCCGAGTGGTTGTCAAGAGGATTATGAGGGTGATACGTGTCAGCGATTAAAAGGTATATTTTCTTATTATTTCATTAATACTTTAAATGTTATATCGGAAAATTTTCTTCACACCTGCATTGAAAGTTTAAGCCCATGGTATTTACAATGCGAGTACTGTACTACATAAGGTTTACATAAATTTTGCGCAAAATATATTCGTATGCATAAAATGAAAATAAAGAAAAATATATCTATCAATTATAATCCGTCCTAACCTGAGTTAGGAATTAAATTTACTTACCTTGGTTCAACTATATATTTTTGTCATGCATTATATACCTGGTACATAAGAAAAAATATGTTATAGGACCTGCATTAAACACATCTGAGAAAAATAAAGAAAATGTTATATATGGTGTGGTCAGTGGTGTTGTATTAGTAATTGTCTTAGTCGTCGTGATATTCATATGGTTAGTATTTCTTAAAATGTAATTTAATATACACTATATTGAATTATTTTATAATACCTGTAAATAAAGATTTGAGAATGAATGTTTTATTGTTTTCTTCCATAATAATCGTCATAGTAATTGAAAAGAAATATCCATTAAAATGGTTTTTGTTATCTGTTACTGAAAAAGGAGACGAAGAACGAGTCCCGCATCAAAAGGAACCGACGGAAGTCAACAAAGTTTTGAATTTGTTTTACACAGCACTAAAGAAGATAAACTAACAAATGGTGTGTAAATCTGAATGTTTTGTTTTAGAAAGATACTTCCGGCTCACATTTTTTTCGGCATATTTAGGTGTAAATTATTCGATTTAATGAAATGGAAATGAGGAGGAGGATGGTGTAATTATTTTATTGATCAGATGTGATTGTTCATATTGAATAGATGGTGAGGATTTTCATTCATACAAAAATGAAATGCTCCAAAACAATAGCCTCAACGCAAAACAAGGACGTATTCATCTAAAAGACCTCTGCACAACAATAAAAATCTTGTCAGATCAGGAAAATACGGGATTTAAAGAAGAGTACAAGGTATAGAAGCCAATGAAGATTTAATTATATTTATTTAATTTTAAGTTTAAATAGATAGATTCTACTTAAGCAGAAAGTATATTAATTCACCGTGAATATTTTGAAAATGAATCCAATATGTTTAAAAAGTTTTCTTTCATTCTTAATATGTCATTGGCATTGGTTATTTTGACTATTATTTATCAGGTGATGTATTCAATTAGCAACTTTTAATTGTTTTGAACTTTTTATTAAGGAGATTCCTAATGGCGAGTTACATCCATGTGAAGTTGGTAAAAGAGAAGAAAACAAAGTAAAAAACAGATATACTACAACATTTCCATGTAAGATATTAATCATTACAATAGATACACTACAACATTTCCCTGTAAGACATTAACTTTTGCAACAGATACACTACAACACTTCCCTGTAAGACATTAACTATTACAACAGATACACTACAATATTTCCCTGTAAGATATTTATCAATACAACAAACTGATATCATTATCATTTTTATTATTTTGGAGACCATATCGTTCACAACAAATTTGGTTATGATATTTCGGCTACATGTAATAACACTTCAAAGGGATAGTTCAAAGGATTTCCGAAGTGATAATTATCATTTTATGAATGATTTGTTAATTTATGTACTCCTATAATCACAGGGTTTTCTTTATTTGAAAAATAATTTGCAATATCAAAATGGCAAAAATTAATTAGTTATTTTTTAATTAAAATGCAAGCCTTTTTTCACGAAAATGTAGGTAAAACTGGAAATTAAAACATGAATTACAGAAATGTTGCTTACTTGTTGATATTTCATTCATTTCTAGATGATCATACTCGTGTTACTCTACAAGAATCGAACAAGAACGATGGTTATATCAACGCTAACTACATTAGGGTATATTAATTATTTTTTGAGCATACTCTTCTAAGTGCCAAGCAAAAAAGAAGTCGATGGGATAATTGACTATACACATGATGTATAGCCATCATTGAAGATGATTTGAAGAAAAACAATTGCAAATAAAATTCCTATTAAACTTTTCTGGGTCTAAGGTCTGAGCACACGTTGCTTGAGTATCTGTTTTGTATTTCTTCGTAATATACAACAAATTAATCAGAATTATCTTTATCTTGTGATTTATAACTGATTTTAAAATTTCTAAATGAATAAAGACACCAAAAATTTGTGATGTTGCCAATGCTAATAAGATATTTTCTCGACAGGACTATGGTTAAATACATGTAGATGACGAGTAAATATTTTAAAAGAAATTTTGTTACTTCATAGCCACTAACTCTTTTTTCATTTTCTAAGAAACGAATATAAATTGTATCAAGCATTTTAACCTTGAATATTATTTAATCAGAAAAAAAATTCCATTGATTGGACAAAAGGCAATGTCTTTAATACTTTTCCCTATGATGTGTATCCATGATGCTTACGCTAATTTTGTCTCTAAAACTTTTATATTTTCCATAATTGCCTTCATTACATGTATTTGCCTTTTGGGTAGAAAACGTTTTGGCATCATGACTGTCCTTAGTCAATACCTTCTGATCTATACCAAAAATAATTTTACATTCGGGTTTTATTGTTTTAATATATGAACTCTGTACTATTAGTTCTCATACTTTACTTCTTCATTCCTTGATTCACTCATTCAAATAGGCTTCATAAATATGAACTTTTTTACATACCAATATATCTAACTTTTTTTTGCTTTTTATCTCAGTAGAATTTGTGAAACTCTGATATCAAGTATATTAATAGTTTATTGTCAATGCTTTACAAATAGGATCTTTCTGGAGAAAAGAGATATATTGCAACTCAAGGTAAGCTAAATTTAACGTACATGTATATGTGTTTGAAAATCATTCCTTACAATATAATATTTCTGTTTTGCAATTTAAAGAATAATATCTTTAATTCTCCGTATATTTATACCATCCTCTTTACCAGGTCCAAAAAAGAAAACAATTGCTGAATTTTGGGAAATGGTGTGGCAAGAGACAGTTACAACAATTGTTTGCTTGACAAATCTTAAAGAAGGGACAAGGGTTAGTAATGCATGTGATCGATTTATTTTGGATATGGTTTTTTAATGTTAATTTCATTCCTTTGGGTAGTAGTCAAGTCCTTAATGGGAAATGACCCAAAGCGCACCCCGGGTTCGCTTTCTGGGTTCGTTCCGGGTTCGCTTGGGGTTCGCTATAGCTGACCCCGAGCGAACCCGGAGCGCACCCCGACCGAACCCGCAGCGGACCCAGAGCGAACCCAGAAAGCGAATCTCAAATGTTTCAAATCATCAGAGAAACCATGCAAAATGATACGATAACATACCATTCTTATATAATAGAAATATATAAAATCGTAAGAAAGAATTCCTAGTATGTTGAAATCTAGTATTACTATGCATATATATTGCGCATTTTCCACAAGAGAGAGATGCAAGTTAATCAATTATGATGAATTATCTATCATAAACCCCCTCCCCCCTTTCCAGTTTTAATGAAGAAAATTGTTTAATCGTCAGAAAGAATACTAGTAACTATATCTATAATGGTATCAATTCAGACACTGGATTAATTCTATCTATCACAGAATTTTGCTTGGGCCGAGGTGTCAATTATTTTGGGCCGACCTGTCAGGGCCGAGGTGTCAAACGTGTCGGGCCGAGGTGTCGTTGGGCCGAGATGTCTGTCTACCTTATTTACAAGTAGTTTCAAAATATCCATGTCTAAATATTTTCTTTTTCTTTCAGTTTTCCAAAGTCGATGAATTGCAGCAATAATTTATATTTTTAATCTAAAGTATCTCTTAAATAAATTTAGCCTATTTTCATTTTAAAAATATCCACTCCTAAATATTTTTAACTATTTTGCGTACAAAAATCGTGCATTTGCGTTAACAATCGTGAATGATCATGTACATTGTAACCTGACGAATCGTGTGCCTGAAGGATCGTTCGTGTAACAGGTTTAATCGTGCGTTAATCATGCGGAATCGTTCATGTAACGTGATAGTTCCTATATGTTGTCAACAATAACGTTGCAGCCACTGTACATGCACATGTATCGATCGCCTCAAAAATAACAATGATCGATTTCACTACTGTATTTGGAATATACAAGGGGTGGGGCCTATTGGCGGCAAGATTAAAGCGGGGTCTGCTTCACGCATGAGTGCGCAAAGCGAACCCAGAAAGCGAACGCCGGGTTCGCTCTAGCGGACCCGGAGCTGACCCCGAGCGAACCCAAGCGCACCCAAGGCGAACCCAGAGCGAACCCAAAATTTCTGAAAGCGGACCCGTAGCGGACACCGAGAGAACCTAGAAAGCGAACCCGGGGTGCGCTTTGGATTCGCTCTGGTGTTAGGTTGTGTCTGGTCGGTACTATATATATATATATATATATATATACAATTTTAAAAAATGAAACACGAAAACGTTTAGTAAAGCTTTGCTAAACGTTTTCGTGTTTCATTTTTTAAAATTGTACCTATAATTTACCGAGCACTGTGGATTTATATTTATATTTCAATATATATATATATATATATATATATATATATATATATATATATATATATATATATATATATATATATATATATATATATATATATATATCAGTATTTTCCATCTAGTACCGATTCGGAAGTACTTTGCTACTGGGCTGTAGAGACCCTCGGGGACTAACAGTCCACAAGCAGAGGCCTCGACCCAGGGCTCATAATGTAAATCAAATACTAACAGTCCACCAGCAGAGGTTAGTTAGAAAAAAAGGAAAATATTGCATAAGTTTCTTCCATGTATTTATTTTCCCTGGGTATTCTCATTGGTTAATTTAGCTTTTTTTAAGTTTCGAGATCAAAACATTTCTTTGTGTAACTTCTTTATTTAAAAAAATATTCAAAGAACAATTCTACTTTATCGCGTTAGGGCATTTAAGAAAATGTTGTACAATAAACTTTATCAAATATTTCATCTTTATAGATCTGTGTCAACATAGAACACCTGGAATCGTTTGAATCAAGTTTTTCAAATCGGCCTGGTTGTGCTATTTCTCAGTTATTTAATATGTTGAAGTCCTGTGTATCAGATGTTAAATAACATTGAAGAATATCTTAAAGTGAAATCGTTATATCAGTTCTTTTTGTTGTTTTATTGCCCTTAATAAAAGGGCCCTTTGCGGTGAGCTTCTGGTACTGGAGGATTGAAAACCAGTCTAGGTAATGGGAAATATCACTTCATAACGTATCAGTTCAAAGTGCGACAGTGAACCTGAGAGGACCTTGTACTATATATGAAAGAAGGAAAAATATTATTGATGAAAGATTTTAAATGACATTGAAAAATATCTTAAAGCCAAACCGTTATATCAATTCATTTTGTTGTTTTATTCACCCTTATAAAAAGTTCCTTTGCGGTGAGCATCTGGTATCCGTCTAAGTATTGGAAAATATTAATTCATTACGTATCAGTTCAAGGTACGACAGTGAATCAGAGAGAACCTTGTACTATACATGAAAGAAGGAAATTTTTTTGATAAATATTGAGGTACCGAACAGTTATCAAGCTCAAAAGTCCACTGAACAATACAAAGCAGGAGCAGAGCAAACACGGAGCTCTAGAAACATCAGAGGTGGGATCAAGTGTCATGGAGGAGTGAGTATCCCCTGCCTACCGGTCACACCCACTTTGTGCTCTTTGTCATGATCGGAAAAAAAAAGAAATGATCCCTGTATAAATTAGAATGAAAGACCTCAGTCAGCATTCGACTTAAAGTTAGATTGTAATTGCTGACAAATCATTGTATCGACCATAAAACTTGCAAATTGATTTAATTTTAATAATCTTATTTTTTATAATCTTGACCTTAACCTATCTGAAATATAAACGAAGCTTAATTACCCGTGGATTATTTTCGTCATGTTAGGTATTGACACACTCAAAATAATTATTTTCATCAAATCACTAACTGGACCATGGTTGTGTATTGACGGAACTTCCTTTCTCATCTTAGGAAAAATGTAGACAATACTGGCCAAACAACAGTGCAAAAATCCAACACGGACACTTTGCAATTCGAAACAATGAAGAAAAGAACTATGCAAATTATGTTACGAGGAATTTTCATGTGCAGAATATTGATGTAAGTCACCAGGTATGATATTATACTGATGTGTCATTCTTTTACCTATCAAGAAATTAAGCGTAAACGTTGGCTGTAATTAAAACTTGATTCGCTTTCCATTTTTCTAAAATTTATGATACAATTATTAATATGAAATCATGTCTTTGAAAAAATTTAGGAGTACACAAATGATAGTACTGATATATTGATCCCGCTTAATGAAGTGCATTTACAAATTTTGAAATTCCAGTTATATATGTAGCTTAAAAGTGGAGCTTTTAACAAATCTATTAAACTAAACGCAACTGAAGCAAGCTTACCTATTAAGCCTTATTTTTGTCCTGTCATTATTTTTTTTACTTTATCTCGCACTCTCTGTCTCTCACTGAATCTCTCTTTTCTCTATCTCTCGTTTGCATACAGAGAAAAGAAGAGCGAGACGTGCGGATGTTTCACTATACCCAGTGGACAGATCATGGTGTCCCTGAAGCTTTGAACCTTGTCATGTTCCACCGACATTTCCTGAGATCACTTTCAGGAAATTCCCTCCAACACAAAATTGTAGTACACTGCAGGTTAGAGAAAAATTCTCAAAAGAATGGCAAATCAAGTTGCAGAAAACATTAAGCATCGTCGAGATGCATACATGTATATATTTACCAGAAAAATTGAGATTGACATTTTACTTTCAATTAAAGAGGTCAATATAAACTGGAAAAAACTTGTGTCCAATCCAATTAATTATGTATCAATAAAATATTTTGAAATCATATTATTAGCAATAATACTTGAATACACTCTATCAAGTATCATATCTCCATTTGAAAAATTACAAAGTAATATTACATTTAGTTCACGCAATAAAATAGTATGAACCTTCTTGTTCTATTTTACAAAGCATTTCAGTTGCGTCTTTTTCTTGCCTCCGTTTAGCTGTTTCTCTCTTTTATTTTAGTGCTGGGATTGGGAGAACGGGTACCTTCATAGCTCTGGACGCCCTTTACCGGGACGGCTTGAGTTCAGGGTCTGTAAATGTGAAGGAATTCGTAACACAAATGCGCCATGACAGAATGAACATGATACAAGGGGAGGTACTCATTTATCTCAGAACATTTTATATAAACTGTATTCTAAAGAAAAAATAACACCATATCTTTACCATAAAATACGATTCTAACTGTCTGTTTGTCCATAGACATTTTTTCAAAAAGCTCCTACAGTTTTGGTCCGATAATTTTAAGACTCGGTACACAAGTAGTCTATACTAAAAACATATTTCTATTTATCTATTGATTTCGACTGATTGCTTTGACATGGTTACTAAAAAAAATTGTATGAAATTCATTCAAAACGCTACCTCTCCCACAGCCTTGGTCCGATTTCAAAAAGGCTTGGCACACAAGCAGATTATACCAAGATATACTGAAAGGAAATATTTTTCCAGTTATCCTATCTAACATTTAAAATCATCTTTAATCAAAATGTAACCAAAATCTCATTTGATTTTCCCCAATAATTCATGAGTTATTGAAACTCATATGACGGTACCCCCCAAAAGTGAAAAATGAAAATTCTCATTATCTCACATGTCTCCCTCGCGCATCTGTCACAGCCTTGATTCTCCTATGCATGGAGTTTATCAGTGTGTTTATCCTTCTAATAGTTATATTAATCAACCCTTCCGAAAAGGCAGCCCTTCGTTGATTGAGACCAGCCTGGACATTTTAAACCCTACCGTCCACGTTGTCCCATAGACGTTTGATGCGAAAAGGATGGACTTGACAGAGACCAGTGAAGTGGATAAATGTCATTGTTTGCGAGAAAATTTTGACAAGCCCTGGCAGCATTGGGAGGGGTTTAACATGCCCAAAAATATAGGCAAATACGCACGCATGTGCGAGTTAGAGGAACACTTACATAAAGTTGACGAGCTCTCAAACCAAAATCGTGCTATCGATTTCCTTCAGTTTTGGGGTGAATGTAACGATTATGATAGCCTGCTGTATTAATAGCAGTTTTAGGGTAATGCGATGGTGATTATACAGGTGGCAGGATGAATAGTCCGATCTTGACGTGGCGCTGTTACGCAACAACGTCATCGTCAAGGTTGGTTGGAAATCTTTCTACGCCCTCTCTGAGGACGGGTAAGACTTTCTATTGTGGAAAAATTCACAACAAACTGCACAGAAACCTGTCGTTGCCTTTGTCCTCACTTAGGCAATGCAATAGCCAGACCCCATGGTACTTCCGTCAACCGTACCTTGATTTCGAGCAGGGATGGGGTATTCGTAATCGAGTAATCGTAATCGATTGTAATGATTACTTTTTTTCAAGTAATCGACAGTAATCTGTAATCAAAGAGATTTTCGATTACTTGTAATCGTAATTTAATCGATTACAGCTAAAATTTTCAATGTAATTATAATTACTTTTTCGATTACTTTCGATTATTTTATACATAAATGGATGTTATTTTGGAAAATTATTTCCAGTCAGTCACACATAAATATCCCACCTAGTGTAAAGTTTGGATTTCCTAGCTTTTTTTTAGCTGTCCGTAAGAGAGGGAGTAAGTGTCACTGGGTTTGCTTATCTTGGCTAATTAATCGACTGAGACATCCCTGATTTGCAGATAATGAAGTGTGAACTGTGAACTACCTGGTGTTTAACCTTCATTCCATTGAAGACAAACAATATTATTAAAACAGTTAATAGCTCTCAAAACACTTATTTCAATACAGAATGAAATTGTGCTATTAGTTTAATTACTTAAAGACAAATTCAATTTACATGTTTATTACTAAGAGTTCTAATTTACTTATTTTTTTTTAAATACACGTACAGGAATGTTTAATGTGTAGTGTCAACATACGGGCAGCCCAAATACTTCTAATGAAGTAATTCACAATAAAATATTAAATAATATTTGCAACAAGTCAATAAATATGGAGGTTCAGATCCAAGGTTGAAAGGAATAATTAATTCCTTGGCATATTTCATTGTAGGAATCATGTCTCCACTTTCCCTGGTAGAGAATCCCTCATTTGGGCATTTAGTGAGAATGTTAGCCAGAATAAAACCTTATAAGAATCTGCACTGAAACTGCAGGAACACATTCAAACTTCAGTAGATAACATCAACATTTACCATTTAAATATTGCTTTGATATTTGAAGGGATAAAAACTTGGAAGTAATCGATTATTAATCGATTACATCTTCCAAAGTAATCGATTACAGGACAAAAATGAGTGTAATCGATTAATAATCGATTACACAAATTCCTCTAAGTAATCGATTATTAATCGATTACATTTTTGAGTAATCGTGCCCATCCCTGATTTCGAGAAATGGAAATCGACTGTTAATATCGAAAAACGATGTGTATAACTTAAGTGCAGCAAATGGTACTACGAGATGTATTGAAAAACATGTTGTCATCGATATGCACGTGTATTCGGCTTTCTACCACTTTCCTTATGTGACGTCATACATTTCACGGTTGAGTAGTTCTGACCACTGATTTTAATGCACAGTAACCAAGATATCCCTCTGACCAATTTTCATAATTTTCGGTTATACAATCAAAAAAATTTCGCATATTATATTACCCTGCGTTTCCTTTTCCTTTCAGGATATATAATTCTTTTTTAATCGTTTTTGTTTTATTTTGATGAACGACGTTGCCATGGTTAATTAAAATAGATTTTTTGCGAAAATCATTGAGAACGCTACTCCTCCAACAGTTTTTGGTTTGATTTCATTAAAACTTCATACACAAGTAGACTATAATAAAATACTTTATTCTGTGTTTTTGTTTTTCATTTTGACAAAAGGTGTTGCCATGGCTAATGAAAATTAAAAATTCTGTGAAATCTATTCAAAACCCACTCCTCTTACATTTTTTCCGATTTCATTGAAACTTAGTACACAAGTAGACTACACTAATATACAATGTATATACTTCTCTGTGTTGGTTTTTGATTTTATGAAAGGATGACTAAATATAGAAAATTGAGTGAAATTCTTACAAAACACTTCTCCTACTACAGTTTGGTCTGATTTCAATATATGACTTAGTATGTAAGTAGATTAATCTAAGATATATGGTTCTGTTGATTTTTTTTTTAAATTTAGATAAAAACTTTTGCAATATTTTAAATAAAAAGGATAATTTTGCAGTTCGTTTAAAACATTACTCCTACTATGTTTTTTATTCTTATTTTAATTAAAGTTGGTACATAAGTAAACCTAACCAAGGATCATAATTCTTATTAATGGATTTTACCATTGCTGCAAAGTTTTCAGTCTAGATACTGTTTGTTTTTTTTCTTTCTTTATAAAAGAACAAACCAGTAGAGCTACAATACCGTAATAGACTTCTGGTTTAAGTTTCAAACATATGAGGAATGAACATTATGTATGTTACCCGCTTTTAATGGTAAACATGCGTTTGAAACATATTTTTGAAACCATCTTTTGCAAATTTAGCTGTGTATATAATGAAACAAGTACTAATGCTATTATTCCTTTTTTTGAAGGATCAATATAAAATGGTCTATGCTGCTTTGTATGAATCATTCAGAGGAGATCTACACCCTGTTGATGCTGAAACCTTCCTTTCACAGTATCAAAACTCCTCTTGTTACGTCAATCTAGGAGAGGTAGCTAATAAGAAATCACCAGTAGAAGATCAGTTCAAGGTGAATATTTTAGTTTTACTGATTGGACAAATGGAACCCAGGAGGAGTCTTGAAAAACATGCATCTAGATGCGCCTTTTTTCAATTAATTATTTGTAGAACAGCATTATGTAACACTTACTCTTTGTATCACAATATGAAACAAGCTATGAATGCATAGATATATCAACTAGTAAATATAGAAAAAATATGTTCTTCAAGAATATACTGAAATATGATAAGTCGAATCATATGATTTTCTTGTGATTTTCTTTCTTTACCAGGAGCTTAAATCTCTGAATCCATACCACACTGTAAATAACAGCGTGTCTGGACATGCAAATTTTGGTGCTAATTTTACTGAGGAAGATTTACCAAGTATGATAATGTATTTAGATGCAGTCAGTTAGTTTGCTTTATGTTGTACCTCAACAAAATTAATATAAAAGATTTAATACACAATTCTTGTTATAAATTGATTGATTATTAAATTGATTCTTAAACATTGAGAAATATCTGATAGATTGTAATGTATTTTATTTTCTTTTTTCATTACTTTTTGGTGTATCTCTTTTTTTGTCAGGCAGTTCTAAATTTCTAAAATGAATGTTTCTTCAATGATTTCCAAACTCAAGCTATTCTGAATCTTTGTTCTATCTTTCTCTCCTCCACCCCTGAAATAAGAAGAAAATAAAGTTCTTTAATCCCTTGTGTTCAATTTCTCATACAGTGGAATCACCAACATTCGCGAGGGAACTATTTTCTTAAATTTTACAGGTTCGTGGGGAATTTATTTCGTTTATTCACTCATATCTACAAAAGGAAATATGATATTGAAACCCTAGTATATTTATTCATGGAGGATGTTAATTCGTGGATGAGAGGTACCCACGAATTCGACGAAAATTGAGTCACCAAGAAATCTAATGATTGCACAGTATCTGAAGTCGTGGTCACTGGGCTTTGCATTGTAGAATTATATCCTAATGAAACCTTTATTTTAATAATAGATGGCAAGACTCTAAATTATAAATATCCTTTTTAAGGAGGTGTGGTAATTTCAGCAAAAGGCAAATGTCAATGATAAACAAATGATTTCTTGCATGTGGAAAACATGTCCGTTCAATGAATTCCAAACTTTTGATACAAATGAATTCAAATGGATTATGATGTTGCACCTGACCAAAAGATCTGCAATATTCTGTAAAAAGTTTACAAAGTTTATGTAAAAAAATGGATTATCATGCTTTTAGCCATGTAACGGTTATTTGTTTTTATCTAATATCAAACTACATGTAAAGGGTAATTGTGAAAGATATGCTTTTAAGAGTTTCAATTCTGTTTTGAAAGGTCAGATTTCTAACTTAGTATTTATATTTGTGTGCATGAATAGAAGCCAACTATACATTATAAAGTAATTTAATATTCGTTTAATTTAGACCAGAAATATAAATGCTATGTGCTCTCCGACGATGACAAAGAAGTGCATTATAATAATGCTGTTATCTTGCAGGTTAGTAAGACAAAATACCTCTTTCAACTATAAATCAATATATTCTTCCAATAAAAGAGCTGACATTTTTGACCTTATATCATGCAAAGATTCTTGATTTTCTTTTCTTTACAGAGTTTTACTAAACCTGACGGAATTATAAGTGCCCAGTATCCAAATGAGAATCAGTGTGAAGATTTCCTTTACCTAGTACGAAAGAGTGGAGCTGGAACGGTAGTTTTTCTCGGGCAACTTTCGGACGTATCATCGGTATGAGTCTTGGTTGATATTTGAAAATTAAAAAAAAAAAAAAAAAAAAAAACTACACAAAAATGTGTCAGATTCAGTTCTTAATATCCCATTCTATTTATTTTAGTCGAAATGTTGGTTTCCATCTAAAAATGATACAAAGGTTGTGGGAGATTTCACAGTAAAAATGAGAATCTGTACTCCCTCCGACTGTGTTACGAAAACAAACATCATTATTCAGAAAAAGGTACAGTGTACTTGGCATCAAATCTCTCTGTCTCTCTTTCTCTGCCTCTCTCTCTCTCTCTCTCTCTCTCTACATTGATGTCTGTTGATTTCTTTAAATTCATACCAGGACGACCGTTTATTGATTTTAAGCTCACCTGAGCCGAAGGCTCAAGTGAGCTTTTCTGATCAAAGAGTGTCCGGCATCTGTAAACTTTTCACATTTTCGACTTCTTCTGGAGAACCACTGGACCAATTTCAACCAAACTTGCCACAAAGCATCCTTGGGTGAAGGGGATTTAGGTTTGTTCACAGGATGTGCCACGCTTTATTAGTTATCTTTATATAGAAGTATCCTCAGGTAGTGTAGATTCACGATTGTTCAATTCATGACCCCTGGGGGTAGGACGGGGCAACAATGGTCGGTCAAAGTTTTACATAGGAATGTATAGGTGTAATGGTTAAGAACGATTTGAGTAAAACGCAAGACTTTATATAGTGGAATGACCTGACAACCCTTGGAATGGACTAGCGAAAGGGTATATAAGGCAAAGCTTTTGGAAAGTCAGGCATTCAGAATATAGATGAAGATGTTGGATGTTGAATCAACACTAGAGATTAAGGTATTCTATTCCTAAAAGCAACAGATTCAATGAACTTGAATACATAACAGATATGTAGGTGCATGTTGAATACTCAGTATATTTAGACGTAATTCCCATTTATTACTATAAGCATGTAAGGGTGGGATGTGGGATGTGTCCTAATATATGACCTAGAATTTTGGTAAGAGTTGTCTCCCTCTGTTTTTAATTGATAAAAAAAATCAATTTAGAAAACTTATCTGGTAAAAAAAAAATCGTTTTCAATCGTCATTCTATTTCTAATGTGTTTAAATGCATCTTTCCAACACAGTATTTATTGATATTCTTATTATTTGAATTTTTATTTTAGACTTCAATGCAATCTTTAATTAATTACTTCAATCTTAGTTAATTTTTGAAACTTTCTATTGGTAAATCTTTTTCTACTATAAAATGTTTTAAATCAATATCAGAGTATTATTTATGTGATGGACATTTAAGGATAGAGGATGGAAAACCTTAAGGGTTAAAGCAAAATAAAAGTATAAAAGTTGTAAACACAAGTGGCAAGTATCCTAGGGATTTGTTTAGTTCTGTGTAGTAAATCTGAAGAAGATTGAGACATCTGGTTCTTATCTAACAAAGGGAACCTAAGGGAAAAACATGGTGTAAGTAGTACCTTATATCTCAGACTGAGCTGTCTTAATAATTATTCCAATCAATAACTCAGACAGTGTAAAAGGAAAACCGATATATCCCTTGTAAGAATCTGATCATACATGTTACCTAGGAAATATCTTTACAATCTTCTTCTCTAGAACAACTAAGCCATTATTATTCATTATTAGTCTTATTTATACAGAAGCAACCTCAGGTATTGTAGAATTAAGTTTGTTCATATTATGACCCCCGGGGTAGGGAGGGGGGCACAACAGAGGGTCAAATTTTTACATAAGAATATAAAGAAATCATCTTGAAAAAATTTTCTGCTCTAGATCAGCAAAGCCATGATTAGTCTTATTATAATAGAAGCATCCTCAGGTAGTGTAGATTCAAATTTGTTCAAATTTAGGGTGGGGAGGGTGGAGCCACAGTGAGCGATCAGAGTTTTGCAAAGGAATATATAAGGGAAAAAATCTTTAAAATTCTTTTGTTTAAGAACAGGAAAACCATGAGTAGTAATATTGACATTGGAGCATCATGAGGTAGTGTAAATTAAAATTTAACCCCCCCCCCTCCACCCACCTGATGCCCTCTGGTTCAATGCTGAACTGATTTTTGCTTCTTTTTAACCAATGTGCTCAGGTAAGCGATGTGGCCCATGGGCCTCTTGTTACATATTATGATAGGGCTTCAAAGACGTAGCTGTTTCTGTTCTGGAATGTAACTTTTGGAGGGAGGATACCGTGGTTGCTGATTGTCGAAAGGTTCTTAATGTGATTACAGAAACCCGACTTATAGAGTCTACCCGTCCTGACAGTAGAACGCTAGTTTTGTCAAGGTAAGTGCTTAATAACGTTTAAAAAAATCCTTGTTTCATGAAACAAATAAAGCTTTTTATGGATCATTCAAAACAGAATGTTCAAATAAGTTTTATTTTAAAGTACAAATTATTTTAATTGCAGTGACGGTGCAAAACGGTGTGGTCCATTTTGTGTTGCTTACAATGCAATTGAGCAACTAATTCTTGACAAAGAGGTTGATATCTTCACAACAACGCGATTGATACAAATTCGTAGGCCAGATATGATATCAACTATTGTAAGTGTAATCGCGGATATAAGAAAGGCATATACGTATTTATTTATATGTATAATTTTTCTCTTTGTTTTTTTATAATATTTCTGACCCCAACCTCCTCTGTCCCCAATATAGTAATCCTGGATCCGCATTTAGATGGTGCATATAAAAACTAAAATACATGTAATATTATAGGAAATAAACATCATTACAAACCTATAATTACGATATTTGTACATTACATTTACAAAGATTCTTTGTCTCAAAGGCTTACAAATTTCCTGCAGTTGTATATGTAGATGAATGCCTTTAATTTCTATAAGTGGATGTGTGTATTGTAGTGGTAAAATGGTGATTTTGGTGTACTTTAATCAAAAAATGTTAACTTGCAATTACGAGATCTTTTCTCGTCATAACAATATCTTCTTTCTCGCCTTAATTAAATCTTTTCTGACTCGTAATAATCGAAATAATTTTTCTCGTCATCATCACGAGATAATATTGACTTTAAATTAAAAAAAAACTATATTTTTTTCATGAGAGAATATCAGGCTGTAGTAAATATTTACCATATGGCTGCATTTTCTAAATATGTTCTATTTTTTAAGGTGTTATGATTCAATTCAATATCTCTCTTTCTTTTGTGCAGGAAGAATACCAATTCTGTCATGATCTTATAGCGGAATATCTACAGAACGATACAGTCTATGCCAACTATTCAAATTAATATGCATCTATTGCTTCTGGGGATTGAAGGAACTTTCTTTCTTTTTACGTTACCAATATATTGAATTAGACATGGTGTAGCATTGATCTTTTAATGTGCAAAAGAACTTTCAATTTTTTTTTTTGTTTAATGTCTAAATTCTGCTCGCAAGGCAATGAGCCAGATTTCACCGAAAATCTCCTTTTTAGGATATTAGTATAGTATAATTATAAAAAATATAATCTTTTATTTGGGAATATTTGGAGCTATTTGTGCATGTATATAAACGATTTATATATGCTCATCCTATGAGAAATGCATTTAAATGTCTATTCATATATTGAAATCATAAGCTTGTAAGCCCAGTTCAAATATATTACTGTGACGTCATATTGTATTTCACATTTCGTCCAGTCGGAATATCTGGATATAGCCTTTTAAACATGCCCGCTAACTCAGAGACCTGTACTCCCCAAACAGGTTTGTTAAATTTAGCCTGAGCTCACAGCTCCAAACCCACACACACCCAATAGGTCAGTTATATTAACCCAGAGACCCAAAGCTCCCCTATAAAAGTCACTAAAGGCAATACCTTTTCTGTGACCTTGCAGTTGCCAATCCGTCGATAAATGGCATAACCATTTTATGGAGTCGAAACTTGGTTCCTACCCAAAGCGACTGTGATCCGTCGACAGGGGATGCTTACTCCTCCATAGCACCTGATCCCACTTCTGATGTGTTTGGATAAGAGGTCTCAATAAACTAATAAGAGACCCACAGCTCCAACAGATCAGTTATATACATTTTTCTCACAGATCTACAGTTCCACTTAAATAGGCCTCAAGACAATAAAGGAAGAGCAGAAGTAAGTCAAAATTTCAAATATTTATTACTTAAATACTTTGATAATCAAACAAAACTTTTATCATGACTTAGCATTTGTAAATTATATTCAAGCATGTGTATTATTTTTCCACAATTATTGACAAAAAAAAAAAAATGAAATAAACTGCAAAATATTTGGCAGAATCTCTTAAGATTTTTGTATGACCTACTTTTACGTCAGACTTGTAATTGTGAAGAGTTAAGTATCCTCATTGACAACATCTTTGTAGTCTTCGGAGACCGGGTTTTCCGACATACTGTAGGAATTTCGATGGGAAGCAATGGTGCTCCTTCATTACCCGACCTCCTTTTTTATTCCATGAAGCAGAAATTAAGAAACTTCTACACGAGAAGATAACACTTGTTATGGCCTTGATATATCGACTGTGTTTTATCAATTATCAATAGTTACTTCCATTCATATGTCAACCTCAGGGTAACTCGATCTGTGGAGCGATCGCACCGTGATCGGAGGGTCTTGGGTTCAAACAATTAAGCAGTTCATTGGAATAAGTTCAATGAATCTGACCAAACCATAATATTTTTTAGGATAACCAAGATAAATATCAATGAGATCTCAACATTGTTGAACACAAGGATTTTTTTAAAGATGTTTTTCCATTTTCTTTTTTCGGGGAGGGGGGGATTAAAAATTCTTACGTAAATATGTTCTTTAAAATCAATTGATTTTTCGACCCATCCACCCACACTTTAGAAAAAAGTCAAAGGTCGTGAAAAACAAATTATTAAAATGTGGTCTAAGACTCTATTATGAATTTATGAAAAATGTGATGTCACTGTTAAGACAGAGTGCATCTGACTTTTAACCTCCCACCTTGTATCAAAAGTTTGATTGTATGTATTAATTCATTGTATATTGTTTTTATTCGAGAATTCTTCACTCATATAGAGACGTCACCATATACCGGTGAGGGGCTTCAAATTCAGACCTACACTCGGCACTCAGTGCCATTGACCTGTAAGAGTTTTTTGTCGTGCCAACGCCTACCGTGACAAGGGACCTCAGTTTTTAAGGTCTCATCCGAAAGACCCATGACTTCACTTCTAATTGCGGGTGCTTGGCGAAGGAACAGTCACTAACCTATGTAAACGTCTTAGGTTTGATGCGATGCGGCGAACGAGAATCAAACTCGGGCCTCCCGATCACGAATCAAATGCCGTTCCACTAGACCACCGTGACGCCTCAAATGATTTGAAGAGATCTAAGTTAAACATGTATACAAAGGATACAACTGTGCTCCCCCAAAGGAAGCTTTAAATCTCTTTTGATCTGATGACCCGCCCCTGTCAGCTCGATGTGAAAAGGCTATTCGGATCAGGTTACTGTTATTATAATATTTGATATATTTATTTCGTATGAGTGAATTCAATCAAAATTTATGTATAATTACATTTTACATTTGAACACTTTGACAAAGCCTTCATTGTATCCCACCCACAGTGTAGACTTGTACATTGTTAGTCTGCAAGTACGGTTCACTTCATTCTCTTTTAGCAAGAACTTGAAGAACTCCCCATCAGGACTCAGCAGATGGATCTGTTTGTTACCTAGGTCTGTAATAAGGATGTTACAGAGGGAGTCACACACTACATCAGTTGGATAAAAGTTCTTTGTTAGGTTCTGTCCACAGTAAACAGACTTCATACGACCAGAAGAAGACATAATTACTAGATCACCTGTAGAGGGACTAGTATAGTTCACAACACAGATATCACTGTTACTGTTCTGTGTGACTCTGACTGGTAATGTAAACAGTCTGGTCTGACCGTCCTCCTGGTACTCATACTCACGGATGACATCCTCTGTCACTGTGATGTGTCTCACGATACGTCTGCTGTACGAGTCCAAATTGTAATGCTCTGATTTGTTGTCTCTCAAGGTGACCAGCAGTCCACCGTCCACTGACTGACAGATTGTTCCTGGTAGCATTGGTTCCGTCCTGACAACTCTAGATATGGATCCTTATGGTGACAGACGGCCGATGGTCTTATTACTTAAGTCACTGAAATAAACTTCACCGATATCAGTCGCACACATGTCATTAGGAGTGAGACTAATTTTTCCTCTTTTGGCACCTTGATTGTTGACCTTTTCTATATATTTTGATTTAAATTCTCTTATGTAACATTCCTCTTCACTGACTGTCTCTAACACAACTATTATATTATCTCCATATTGAAATGAGTTAATCTGAGTCACATCAATGCAATCTAAATCTAAAGTAATTCTTCCAACCAAAGACTCAATTAAGTCCTCGTTTATCTCACCTCTTGTGTACGTCACTGAATATTCATAATTTTTTATAGGAACCTCCAATTCAGACAGCATTTTTGTCAGTTCTCTGTGGTTGTCAATCAAGCTGTAATCTGACATGGTGCTGTTGCTCTCCTCCAAGAATTCCACAGTGTCAATAATTCTTCGTTTCTTCTTTTCTAACTCAGATTTCACATGGTTCAGTTGATCATTAATTTTAACTAAATTACCTCTCAATGTTTGTTCATGGTGTTTTTTTATAACTGTCAGTCTGGCCATTATCTCATCATAATGCTTCTGTAGTTTTTTAATCTCACAGTCACAAAGTTTTTTATTTCCTATGACTTGTTTTGACATCTTCACTATCTTCTCGTCAATCCCAGAAAAATCTTCTTCCTTGATTTTCTTCATAAAGTTAAGCAGACCCCTCCTCCTTAGGCTAGCTGCAGTTGGAAGAGTTTTCCAATCATGATTTCTATGATCTGTTTTGGCACACTCAGCACAAATAAATTTATCACAGTCCTCACATATCATATCAATAGGCAATTCGTGAAATTCACACATTTCAATATGCTCTTGCGGCGAGCCCAATGGATATTTTGTCGCTTTACTGTCCGCCATGTTTGTCGGATGTGTCTAATGTAATGGCCCCCTTTTTATTGTGCATTTTAGATACAGGAAGAATTGTCAAGAGCCACTTGGAATTTAATGATTAATTGACGTGCAGTAAAATGTAAAAAACATGAATATATATACAACTGAAGATATGAGGAAAAACATTTAAATGGAGGAATTATTGTATATATGTTATTTATCATAGAGAGAGAGAGAGAGAGAGAGAGAGAGTTGGGGTGGGAATAAGTATCCTTATAAAGTGAATTGCTCTGTGCTTTCTATATTAAAATGTCTTCACTTGGGGCTGATGTGTTAGTTTAAGAATTTTTGTAAATTAAATGTGCTATGAAATAATGTTAATTTTATTACACTAAATGTATATATCAATAAAGATCCTCTAATAAAACTATGTCCACATAGCTGTATCTCAATTCCAATCTTCATGACCATGAAGTGTAGGACGGCGCCGAGAGAATTACATCGGCATCGAAAGCAAGTTTTAGACTTGCCTACATAGCCGAGCGGTCTAGTGTGCTGTTCCTGAACTGGTAGGAGACAGATTCCGCAGCTCGAGAGTTCAATCCCAGTTTTGGGGCGGAATTGAGTATCATATTCAATAAGGATAGGAATTTTATGTTTTCTTATGGGAATGATAATAATATGTTTTTTATAGGAATAACATGTTTATCAAATATAAATCATTTAATTATCGAATAAGATTGACAAAATTATCGAATAGGAATCACATGATTTCAAAGAGGAATAACAAATTATCGACTAGGAATCACATGCATGTTTTCGAATAAAAATTACATTTATCGAATAAGAATGATAAATTATCGAATAGGAATCACATTGTATCGAATAGGAATGATATGTTTTAAAAACAGAATAACAAAATTTTTGAATAGGAATAACAAAAAATTATTATAATGCAACCTTTGAAATGCTATACTCCTGTTTATTAAACGTGCATTTAAAGATATACATACTTTTCATAATATTATGCTTTTCCTGGAGGTCAGAATGGGTTTTAAATTTGCAATAAATGTAAAGTATAAAAGGAAAAAAAAAACTTTTATAGATCTTTTGCAAAGCAACAAGAATAAAAATTATGAAAATGGTATGATACAAGTCTCTTGCAGTGTTGATAGAATTTTTTCTACTCCTCGCTATATATTGGATACGTATTTCAGAAAATTTATAGGATGAAGTTGATGGTTATAATGATGATTATGAAAGTGATATAATGCTCAATTGTTTGTATGAGCCTAATACAGTTTCATAAATTTGTGGCAACATTAAAAAAATATATACAACTTTAAGTACACTCTGTATATACTGAAGCATCTCGTTGGCGTAACAAATTGTTATTACAGGACTTGAATAAATGGAATCAGATGTTTATACAAGAATATAATGATTATTTTAAGTCACATGTGTCGCTCACGTGACCTAGCTATTGCTATCAGTTTTCGTCCGCCGTCGTCGGTCGTAATTTGTTTTAAAAAATTTTAGCTTTTGCTTCGGAACGGCTGAAAGAATTTCAATGAATTCTGAATGATAACATCTATAAGTATATAAGGAGAACAAAGATACGGCAAAAGAGAAGTTCCTTTTCGAATTTAGGACGTTGGCACGATTTAAGATATTTTTTAAACTATGAATAAATCAAACGTCTGCAAGTTATGAATATGTGTTGATTTATAAAATTACTAAAGGTCAGGCCCGTAGGAAGCAATTTCAGTTTGGGGGGTACAGCCATATATTTTCAGTTGTGGGGGGGGGGGCACTATTAACAACAAAAAACTCCTTGACAATCAAAAAATTTATTGAGGGGGCACGTGCATATAATAGATATATAATAGGTATTCTCTAGTATTCTATATATCGGTAAAATTATTGGGGGCACGGCTCCCGTGCCCCCCCCCCCGGTTCCTTTGTTCATGAAGTTAGAGAGACTTAGTATGCATTCAAGATAAACATCCACTGGTTAATCTGATAAAGATAATCGACAAATGTTGATCTTACCAGCTTCAGACTCTCTGTTTTGCTGGACATGAATAATGAATTCAAGAATGGCCAAATGTTGTGTATGCTATAATGTATATGAATGTAATGTGCAAATATGAAGAAAAATCATACAAACGAAAAAATTGTCGTGAAATTAACAACAACCATGATACAATCCCAAATCATTTTGGAAAATGTTGCACAAACTAGATAAAATGCAGAATATGCATGACACCTCTCCTGATCTTCCCTGTGAAATATTTTTTCAGCACATTGTATTTCAAAACACTGAATACTGCGAATAGCAATCAGGATGATTTCTACAAACTCATTACATATAAGTTTAATGTTTTAAAACAGAAACTAGAGAATGATGTTAGTCCCCCAATCACAACTCAAGAAATAATGAATGCCATAAAAAATCTCAAACAAGGTAAAAGTACATCCATGGATCTTATTTCAGATGAAATGTTAAAAAATGGAGGTAGTGTATTACTGAAGCCACTACATTTATAATCTTTTCAACTTTATTTTAAACTCAGGGTAATTTCCTACTCTACGGAATGAAAGTATTCTCGTACTCTTACATAAATCTGGTAATAAACTTGATCCTTGTAATTACAGAGGTATATTTTTTTCATCATATCAAATTTAGGAAAACTTTTTAATAGGATTATTCATTTCAGATTCCTAGATTTGATCAAGGATGCATCACTAATTAGTGAAAATCAAATTGGTTTCAAAGAAAAAAGCAGAACATCAGATCATATTTTTACAATCAAGACTATATCGGAATATTATAAAAACAAAAAAGCAAAAAGTTTATGCAAACTTTTATCGATCTAAGTAAAGCATTTGACACTATATGGAGGGCTGGACTTTATTATAAATTCCTGAAATCCATTATACACACCAATATGTTCAATATCATATTTTCTATGTATGAGAGTACGAAAACCAATATAAAGTTTGCTAATGGACTCAATATAAAGCATTCACATCTGAATATGGTGTTAAGCAAGGCGATATCTTAAGCCCATCTCCCTTCAACATTTTTATTAATGGTATTGTTGATGAACTTAAAACAAGCAATTGTGATCCTGTTCAATTGTGAATTGTTCAAATTGGTGAAATCTCTGTAAATTGTTTATTATATGCTGATAATATTGTTTTATTATCTGAAAGTAAGGTTGGGTTACAGAATTGTTTGAACATTCTCGAAACATATTGTTCTAACTGGAAACTACAGGTTAATGCTGAGAAGTGTAAAGTCCTTATTTTTAACTCAAATGGTAAATTTTGTATCAATGAGTTTACATATAATGGAAGTGTCCTTCAGAAAGTATCAAAGTTTTGTTATCTTGGATTAACTTTAAAATGTAATGGAAATCTGAATGCTATATCAGTACTTATGGAAAAGCCCAGAAAAGCCTATCTTATAATTAAGAAAACCAATGGTTTGGATAATCCATGTAAACTTTTGGAAAAACTTTTTGAATCGATTGTAACACCAGTTCTTCTTTATTGCTGTGAGATCTGGGGTATTTATATGATTTTATGATTGAAAAATTTCACATAAAGTTTATTCAGGAAATTTTAGTACATTGTAAAACTACTACATGCTCTTTGCAGAGCAGATTTAGGTAGACAACCCTAGCTGTGGACAAGAATACATTTTTCATGTATAAAATTTTGGAACCATCTTATTACTTCCAAGAATACTTAAGCATTTAAAATCTATAAAGCAACAGTCCAAACAAACTCTTGGACTAAATTTTTTTTTTTCAATTTTCAACAAGTAAGAATTTTGTAAAAATTTTCATTCATTACTAAAAAAGAAAATTCAATAAAATCACTACTGGGAAGCATAAAGCAAAGAATATCAGATCAATGCTTACATGAAGAATATGCAAAGATTCAAAATTCACCAAAACTAAAATTTTACCAAATTGTTTTTGATAATTTTAAACGCTGTAGATACACTGATAAATTAAAGTAGAGAACAGAGATATCAATTATTAGCAGGTTGAGACTGAGTGCACATATAATCTAGTCATAGAAGAAGGAAGACATTTGTCTATACCCACAGATGAAAGATTTTGTAATATTTGCAATACAGGGGATCGATTGAAGATGAATTTCATTTCCTATTCAGCTGCCAAAAATACCATAATCATAGGTTAAGTTAAAATATTGTATTATTTTATTGTATTGTATAATGTGATAATAATGACTTCAGCTCCTATGCTCTGGCTTGTTTGGATGTTTAGCGTGTTTCCAAGATCAAATTATCTCAAGAATTCTATTGAACTACCTGACCAACAAGCCTTGGCGAAACTTTGTACATGTACTGTCTGACGCCATGACAAATAGATTCTTAGATTATTACCCCGTCCCAAAGTTTTTGTAAATTATTTCTCTTTGTTAGGTTCCCAAAAGCTACTAAGCTTTCTGGCGAATTACTCTTTTGAGCATATATCTCAGTCTAAATTGAGGAATAATATTTTTGTAAATATTTTTGATTATTTTTGTAACATCTTGCAAGTCTACACATATACGCTTTCGAAAAAAAAAGCAAACTTTTGCCGCGAATTTGTTACTTTCATTGTGAAATTAACACATCTGTGAGAATATGTATTCGATGGATAAATTACAGTATTTTCAATATTTTGAATGTAATAAATATACAGTGTATGTCTAAAATCTTTTGGCGGAGAAGAATCTCTAATGCGAAACACTATTGTCCCGAATTGTTTAAAATTTCAATTTAGAGCTCTTCGGTATAGAAGGTGAATCGAGTAGTCGCAACAAAAACATTACTAATGGTAATGCCTGGAGGAGGTGGAGACCGTGGTCTTCAAGCTCAAAAGTTTAGACAACATTAATTAGATACAGGTGGTGTATTTACTATTTAAATATGCTTATTGTTTTTGTCTTCGTAAAAAAATGTTTAAATAAAGTGCATGTTAAAAGATTTCTCGGTTGCACATCAACCTTGCCAAGGAAAAACCTACATTTCATAACCAGTCTAGACGAACTCCAAAAACAGCGTGAACTCCGAAAATGAAGTCTTTGGCTCCATCATGCATTGCGACAAAATGGCGTCCGATGTAAACAAACGATGGATTGTCGTTCGCTTTCTCCAAATATACGGCTGCATAATGGTGTATTTAGTGCATTATTACTTCATTTTATTTTTTGTTGAATGGATAATCGCATTTATTAAATTATTTTGTGAATATTGACTTATTTATCGCTTCAAACTCTTGCATAATAGTGAATTGGATATACGACATCGAATTCAATACTGCCGGTAAGAAATATTTTCTTATTTAATTTATTGTGTCCTTGATTTAAATTCTATGTCGATCCTACAATAAGGGTGCTTTTATTTGTTTTTGAAGACACCCAACTTGTATTTATTTTAATCAGAAAATGCGCATTTTTCACCACGGAGCAGAGATATTAACAAGTTCATTTTTAGAAGACATGTTGTGCCCTTAATATCTAGAAGAGTGGTTTTTAAAGTCTTCATATTAACAGATAATAGGTTTAAAAATGTTTTCATAATAATATCTGTTCGTATGTGATAAAAAAAATCGGTAAATAACGATGGTAAAAACTTAAGCGTTCAATTCAGATGTCGTACACAAATTACAAACCGGAATGCTAATTTATGTGCAAAATTCAGTCAGGTTTTTAACAGTTACAACATATATTGTCCCATTTTGCATATATATCCCTATTATTTGCATATTTACTCCTCAAAACGTATCATTTTCTCTGTAATTGATCTGACATGAAACGTTAACTTTGAAAGTAAATATCTCCTTTTTTGCAAATAAAATCAAAAATCTGACAAATACGATCTCTTCCAAAGTCTTTTATTTAGCGTTTCTGAGTACTGGTATAATTGCCATACTTTCCAAAACTTTGCACGGACAGTTTTTGTAGACCCATCATTTTTGCCGAAAAATCGCCATTTTTTGTGAGTGCGCGCATGCGCGGACTCTATTTTCGGAGTCTTTTTCAGTCTCAATTTCTTACTTCCGGAAACGCTGTTTTTGGAGTTCGTCTAGACTGATAACATGCACGTGGTTATTTTCCTGGAACGTCATATATCAAAAAAAAAAGGGGCAAGCCTGGAAACATATATTTTGGACAACTGGAAAAGCTGTGGATAGTTGTTTAAAGGTGCTGTTTCATTGTTTATTTATCGAATAAATCGCGCTACCTAAAACAACAACAACCAGCAACAGAAGACTGTGTAAGAAGAGGTCATTCTTTTGCATCACTGTTAAACAAAGAAACAAAAAAAAAGAGAAGTATCTAGGAATTCAAAGTATTTATCCATAATGTAAAGCAGAATGCTCAGGATTCAATTTTCAAATGGGATATAAATTTACAATGCAAAAAATGAAAATTTTTATCTTGGCTTTATTTATCATAAATCCGCATTAAGATACTTATAAAGAAATAACTTTTGGTTAACAAGTTTTTCTGTATGACCACTGTTTAAGAGATTGATCCCTCGGAAGTTGGTAAACTTCTTGGGGATCAATCTAACAACCCGTAGGGTTGCAGAAAAACTTGCTTGCCAAAAGTTATTCCTTTTAATGTATTTTGATGCAGATTTATGATATTTATAGCCAAAAAAATTTTTCTTTTTTTTGCACTGTAAATTTATATCCCATTTGGGATATTATATCCTAGACGGGTTAATATATCCCATTTGGGCGATTGTTCCCAACCTGTTTAACTATACTTGGCATTGCCATAGGGTTGATGGAAATGCATCTTTCAGTACCCTAATGCAGGAAATAATTAGCTTTTACATATACCAGGACATATTGCAGCACTTCTTGTCTTAGAGAATTTGGAATGTTATTAATCTACATGTAGATAGGATGTAAAGTGGGAAGTTCGTATTGTATTGTTTTCAAAATGACCAGAATGAGAGTAAAATGATATTGATTTCTTTATTTGGTGTTTTTTACCCATATTTTTTAAAATGGTTAAGTTTGGAAAATAAAGGCTCACAGAAAAGGGAATATCCTTAAACAGTTGAAATCATTAAAACTTAAAACTGTATTCACAACATGAAAATAATTTTGTTTTCCATGGGTTCACCTGTTTTTCACCTGTATTTTAAAATCAGCCTATTTATCCATTTTCAGACTGAAGATTTTTACATTGAAATCTTTAAAATGGTTGGGAAAATATGCATATGCTTAATATGGGGAAAATATGCATATTGTATATATAAGAGAAAAATTACCACATTTCCAAGGGGGGAACTGCCTACATTTAGTTCTGATTTTGGATCATGAAAACACTGTTTATCTGCATATTTTGTAGACGGAATGAAAAAGAGGAGGAACCAGAGCCGTCTTGTGTGCTAAGTCTGTGTTCTCCAGGAAATGGCACGAGTTCGTTGGAGAGCGACTGAGTTTCCTCAGCGACTGATTTCCAGATGTAAAGCTCTGGTTTCCTGGCTTATCCTTCTACGTCAGACTCTGTTCTATAATGAGTTCACCTCGTACATGGTCGGGCTGGAAACAGCAGCAGAGCCAATGTTTTGGACAGTGGATAAATTTTCCAAATACTTTGGACCAGTAAGAGGATTCTAAATAAATTTTTATTTAGTAGCTATGTTTCTTGGGGAGGGTAAGATTTATGAATTTTGTAGGAAATTTTTGTGCATTTACTTATTGGAACCTATTCAGAAAACAGGAAGTATTTATTGCAGTAATTAATTTTGTGTTTCTAATTTAATTATGTTCGATGATGTTCTCAAGTTAATGCCTTAATGATTGTGTGGGAGATGCTGATATGTCAATATCACTAACATAATAAGTACATTTACAGTATATATAGCTTATAATAACATAAAGAAAAGCAGCAGAATAGTAATGCATCAAGTACATAAAACAACAATTATTATATTTAAGCAAATACAGTAAGTACAGTAACTCATTAAGTGTTGTAATTGTTGTAGATTTTTATGATACTGGTTGTGTGTCTGACTACGTCTGTGGTCGTCATCTTCTACATCTGCCTCCTGCCCCACGTCTACCAACAAAGTCTCAGTAAAACCGTATTCCATCTAATTTTTGGACATTGGCTCCTTGTGAATATTGTGTTTAATTATGTAATGGCTGTCTTCACAGACCCGGGACATCCACCAAGAGTAGGTATTTCTAGCATGTCTTATTTTAAGTAGTTAAATGACACAGGGAATGTCTTCCCAATCCAAAAATTTTACTTCTGTGTTGGAAAAAAAATGATTCAGTATGCAATGAAATTTGTATAGAAAACACATATTCATGGTATACCAGATATCAGTGTTTGAGATACTGAAGTTCAACTGTATCTTTACAAGAAATAATCTATAACATGAAACCATTTAATATAAAGAGACTTTTCCAAATGAAAAATAATTTAAGTCTTTTCTTTTTTAGGAGATTCCAGAAACGGTTTCTATATGTAAGAAATGTATATCCCCCAAGCCTCCACGAGCCCATCACTGCAGTATTTGTGACAAGTGTGTACTAAAAATGGACCACCATTGCCGTATCCTTTCATATGCAGAAAGATAATCTGATTCATTAATCTAAAGTGCACAGTCAGTTTGAATGGTAACAAGCCAGATACATAAAACATTCTACATTTCATAGTTTAATTTAGATCTGAACAAAGTTAATTGAATGAAGGTATACGTGTCAAAGCAAACTTGTAGGACACTATCAGTGCTTGAATTCTCTGTTAAGACATATGAAATACTGTGAATGTAGACATGTTTGTGTTGTGAAAATTTTTATGAATTTTGGAATTATAAAAGTTTTGCAAGATTTACTTCCGATTTCATTCTGAAGTCTCTGGTTTTATCCTACACTGTACCAGTAACCGGAAGCTCTTGTATCCCGTCTATAGTCTTAAAATGTCATGAAGTTAATGAGTTAAAGAGACTTGATCAAGGATGTCTGGAACAATAAATGTCTCTAGAAGTGAGCTATGTCTTATTGAAGTAGGTTAATGATTGATAAATTGATAAAATACTGGCTAGAAGTGGGGGTGCCTGAAATTGAGTTAGGTACATCGTGGGAAAAATTAGTAGTTATGCCCTGTATACAAAACAAGTGCCTGTGTTTTCTCACTGTAAATTATTTATTTTGTATTTATGAAGAATATTTCCTCAGTCACAAATATTATTACTTACTGTTTCAGATTGATATCAAACTGACAAATCACTAATAAAAATTGTTACAGAAAGTTGTTGGTATACTGAATACTTTTGATTCTGGAATTTTTTTCTAAACACCTATTTACATGTACATGTGTGGGATTTTACAAAAGTAGCTCAAATCTTAAACTATACACCATGTTATCCCTAACAACCTGAAAGCTTGGATAAACAATTGTGTCGGGTTCTACAACCATCGCTACTTCTTCCAGTTCTGTGTTTTTATGTTGTCAGGGACCATCTATGTTTGTGTGACAGGAGTCGACTTGTTCAAACAGCATTTTTATGGTGACAAGGTAATGGTTTTGGAAAATTACTACATTACAATTATTTGCTGCAAAAATGTAGACCAGCAAATTATTAGCTATAGATTGTTAATGCCTACAATTTTGTACAATTCTATTACATTGTCTTTTTGTTTTATTTGTTTCAGTACTATCCCTTCCCTGCTGTTCTGTATCCACTCAATATGGCTTACGACATTATTTATGGAGACCATAATGTGAGTAGAAAACAACATCCCTCTCCCCAGTAATAATAAGAAAAGAAGATCCTTTAATTCACATGCTGTAGAAAATATTTTCAAGATACATGTAATGTAAGTACAGTATGTTGAATGCAATAACAATAAAAAGATGCACACAGCTTAACATATAAGATAAATATTTCAAAATCAGCTTTGCTGTGTCATGATGCATGTCTTACAACTTTATGCATCATCCCTCATTTTACCATTTTGAACAACTTTTGATTAAAAATGAGTATTTTTTTTGTCCTCCACAGAAACCATTCCTGGGAGGTATAGCAGCGGTACCAGTTAACTCCTCTTTAAACCAGAATCACAAAGGGCAGCACCAGCCAGGGGTGGATCTAGAAGTTGACATGAGGAATCAGCATTACCACACTGCCGTGGTGTATGAGTTTGTTCTCTGCTCTGCGGTGGTGATCGCTTTGTTACTGTTAGTGTGCTGGCATGTCAGAATGATCAGTCTGGGGGAGACAAATATAGAAGTGTACATCAACAGGAAGGAAGTTAGCAGACTGAAAAAGTTAGGACTGGTAAGGATAAACAGGAAGTATATAGGATAGGAATGTTACACAGGAAGTAGTTATAGCCAAATCTGATCAATATAAGTAACTTTGGCATAATACATACTAATGCCTAAGTCACTTTCTCACTAATCACTGAATAAAATTTAATGAGACTGGTAAGATAAAAGAAAAAGGAATAAGATAGTAAAAATACAGTCAAACTGCCTTATCTCCAACTCAATAGGACCAAGAAAAAAACCCGGAGATATCCAAGTGTTGTAGATATCAGTGGTAAAAGAGTTGAATAGTAAAATATTTAAAGTGACAGTATGGCGCATCTCATCAAAAAACTAACTTGATAAAATTTTCCTACAAGATTTGGAATTTGTTTACTACTCATAAATATATAAACTTTCAGAAAATTACAACTTTCACAATTAAATAATTTTGATTATTTCATTAGAATTAATAGCTATTTATGGGACGTAAATATATACATCGCAACGTGTTCGGGGTTCCACATTCCATGCCATGCACGCATGCATAGTTTTCATAAACAAAACAGCATGGTAAGAGAGGGGAAGCCCGGTAGGCCTGCTACATTGACAAAGTCGACCAAAAAGAAAAAGAAACTGAAAATAGAGCTTGAAAAAGCAACTTTCCTGACTATAATTTAGTTTGGGGATTAATATAATCCTTGGATAAGGAAGAAACGGTAACTCGGTGACACTCACGCAGGGCTCTCAAAGGTTCTACTCGACAGGTTTGTTGATACTTGTTACCATTTCTCATTTTTCCATCGCTTTCAAAGGAAAAAAAAAATAGTGTAAACTCAACATAAGAATACACCTACATGTATGACTTATAAACATTGTTGCCATTTGAAGTGCTAATTTTTTTAACTGTGCAGAAAAATATTTTGTTTGACATATGCCGCGATAACGTATGACTTGGTGGTTTTTCCTTTCTCGGACCCCAATACACAAAACGTCAACATTTGTACTTTTAATTCTTTTAAATTCGCCTGAAAACAGACTAAAAACTTTACGATTATTATTTTAGATTATTTCATCAGAAATTTATGATAATTTGCTTTTGACAATTGCTTTTATCTCATATTCATTATAATTGCAAACTCTACAGTGTAGGCACGTGCTGTTTTAGAATTCACGTGGTACAAATAAACAGATCTAAGATTGCTCCAGTTTGTACGACCCTTGATTTTCCGAAAGATTCTAATTACGTTAATTTTGTATGGAAGAGAATATTTTTGTTTCTCAAACTGCTTACATCAACTTTATACTTGATTTCTTAATGATATATTGGGTAAATTTGAATGAAAAAGCACACGTTTTGCAGCCGTACTGTCGCTTTAAAGAATAACCACATCACTTCAACATATCCATGGTGTTTGAGATATCAGTGTTCAAGATACCAGTTGAAAGTTTAACTGTAGGAATGATCAATAAAAAAAATCTAAGCTGTATTTGGATACAGTTTTAATTCTTATTTTTGTTTCCTTTATACAGGTGTATACCAACCCTTACCATTATGGATTTTTCAAAAACTGGCAGATATTTTTTGGACTTGGAAAGGGGAGGTAAAGTATTTTCTAATTTAGGAAGCAATGCAGCTCACACCTGTACTTGTACATTGTAACATTGTTACATGTACTTTAATCAATGATGTAACAATGTCTTTACTTCAGTTAAAGATCTCCAGTTGTGTTGATACATGTATGTATTAGGACATTAGCAATCTGTAATTGTTATGTGTATTTGTTGTAGGACATTTTTGAAGAATGTTCTTTTCCCTTCTACCCATACACCGTGTGGTGATGGACTTACATTCCCTCGAGTCCCAAACAAGGGGCCCAGAGAAGACAAAGACAGAGGCCTGATGCTGTTATGACAAAAGTGGTCAGACTAGTAAACTACCCTCAACAACAATTATCAGTATCCTTCAGATTAAGGGCCTCTAAGACTGAGGGTGCTAAAAGAGTTCAACAAAAGGGGCATCACTCTTGAATACATTTTTAATTTTATCTATGCTGAAATACAATATAGTTCTGTCAAATTCAATAACAATGTCAATTTGGTTAAGAATTAGTCTTTCGTAATGAGTCAGAAAAAATGAAAAAGGTGCTAAATTTTTTTTTTTTGTTTTGTTTTTGTTTTTCGAGTTTACAATTATTTTTTATATTAAAGTAGTTAAATCAGTTTTATGTGTTTGATTATAAAGGTTGTTCGGCTACCATAAACACTGAAGCTAGCCTGTAGGAAATTTTTTTATTGTCAAAGCATATTTTGTTGAATAAATTCTATAAGGATTTTAAAAGTTAACAGAGAAAGAATATTTATACCCTCTACTTGTGAAATAGGTCAAGACAAAGATGAGAAAAAAATAATTATACATGATTAGTTTGAAAATAACCCTTTGATAAGAGATATAACTCTTCCTGGGATAAATCAATAAGATACCTTTCTAAAGATTTCTGGTTAATTTTGAAATTTGTGTGTAAATTGAAATTTTGTGTGTAAATTTTGTAATCATATTTTTATAGGTTTTCTTTTGGAAAATATTTGATTGTTAAAAGGCCATTTCTTTCAAATGTTTTGCCACAATGAATGCTGAAAATTTGTGTCATTATATTTTAAGATTTCTTTTGGAAAATCATGAGTGTTTAAAAAAAATTGTAAATGAGTGAACAGAGGAATGTGGAACCTGAACATTTAAACAATCAAAGTATAACTCATCAGTATAGGTATAATGGAGAATGGTATAATATAGTCGAACCTTGATATCTTGAAGTCAATGAGCCTCTACGTTTACACAATCAAGTTTTACTCATCAGTACAAGTATAATAGTGAAATGGTATAATATAGTGGAACCTTGATATCTTGAACTCAACGGACCAAGGAAAAACTTCAAGATATCCGAGGTTCGATATATTAGGGGTAAAATACTTAAAGAAAAAATGCTTGGGACTACCAAATAGCTTTGACATATATCCATGGTATTCAAGAAATCCGTGTTTGAGATACCAAAGTTCAACTGTAATTTAAGCCTCTCAAAAATTATTTATTTGTTCACTGGAGGGGGCATTTAACTCCTTGATCTCAATTATTTCTTTTGTAATTCATGTCAATTCACTATTTTCATTAGGCAATTTGATAATTTTATACATGCCTTATTTGTGTTAGAAAATTTTCCACGTGACTTGACTACTTGAAAGTTCTGCTCATTCTGTATCAGAGTTTGTTTATTTATTGTTAACGAGAGAGGATCAGTCAAACTGGGTAATGTGAAGATGTGTATTTTATTTTTTTTTTTTTGTGTGTGTTGTTCACAGGAATAATGACTTTTAGTGTTACTTTGTTATCATAAATAATGCTCTAGAATTTTACATTTAAATATTTAATTTTACTTTTATAATGAATATAAAATTCAGGATAACGTACAACCCGAGATAATCAAGTAATTTACACATTTATTCTGAAACTGAGCCCTTTACAATATGAATTAGACTGATTCTATCGGACATTCATTCAATGATCATTTAAAGTTGTTTTGATAAGTAGGTATACTTTTCACGTCTTTAAGACATTTAAAGAAGGTTTTAATTTTGTTGTCCTCGATTCTAGATCCGATCGTATTTAACTAATAAAAACTATGAATGTACGTTTTGTATTATACATAAAGCATTTATTTATTGTATAAATTTTTAACACCTTAATCAAAACATTTTAGTAGGTCTATAAGATTAGAGAGTATAGATGGAAATTGATCGCTAGTAAATTAAACAGGGAGAATCCCAGCACTGTTGTAATAAAAATTTATTAATCACAGTACTTCTTTTTATGAGATCTGAAAAACACCGAATATTCGAATCTTAAATTCATATTCGAATATCAACTCATCGAATGAATATTCGAATGTTCGAATATTCGTTGACATCCCTACTTTTTTGTATAATTTTCTTTAAATAACACAAGGATTTTCATCATTTGATATTTATTCAAAATCATGATAATGTGTACTGATTTTTTTCTAAGAACATCTTATTGCAGTATGAGTTTTATGAAAAATAATCAACAGGTAGAGTACATTGTAAGGTAAATTGTGTATGACTTTATATAATGGTACTTTAAATGACAGGTCACAAATCTTTACAGTTTTTATTGGTAGGAGATTTTTAGTGTGAACAATGAAAGATGTAACAATATGTCAAATTTAAACAAAAACGTCTTCATCTCAGATTGGATTTCATTTTGATTAATATTTACAATTTTTTGTAGAAGATGACATAATATAAACCTACTGCTAATCACAAAGTTGTAATATGATGATTTACTTTTATATTGGCGGATTAAGAGTAGGAAATTTATATTGTATTTCAGATTGAAAACCTTATGAGAGCAATGTAGATAAGAAGGAATTCATCTTTATTATGCATAACTCTACTCTGGTCTTAAATTTGTACTGTTAATTTTATTTGTGATGAAATGGGTTTTTCTTTTTTTTGTTTATTATATTTTGAATGTGTGAAGAATGTTTTGATTTAGTTTTCTTTAAAATATACACATAGATTACTGAGTATGTGTTAAAATTGTTTTTAAGGAGCTTACTAGTCTGACATAGTTGTGAAGAACTCGCCTCTGTTTTAGAATATATCTATTTCTTTATTCATGTACATATTTACTGCTATTTATAATTCTGTTATACCCCCTATAAGTTAACTTTGGGGTAAATTGAAAGCAACCTGTTTATTTGCCCATATTTCTGTATAGATGTTTGTCTGTCACCCTGTTAACATTTTTTTTAATCAAATTGTACATTATTTTTCTAGAAAATCATTGATTAATGCATGTATATGTAATTTTTATGAACTCTTCAGAATTTTATTTTATGTAAAACTAGTCTATATAAATAAGGCACTAAGCATTTTCAGATTAATAAATCTAATTTATGAAATATTACCTATTTCTTAGTACAATAGTTGCTTATGCCAACAAGTTCATTTAACCTTGTAACTAAAGTAGCAAAGATCAATAGATCAGATGTCTGGTCATTGCTTTGAAATAAACTTTTAAAGGCTCATGCTTAGTTATAAAAGTTATTTGTTATCAGGGATATGTAATGACCTTGAACCCTGCACATTTGGACATGATCAAGGTCACAGGGTTAAGAATTGTTAATTTAGCGTTGAATTTTAGAGATAAAAAAGATCATATTAGGAACAAAGGTTGCTTGCTACCAGAGGGTCTTTCTTGAACCTCTACTAAGGTTTTGCATGTTCTACGTACGATCAACTTTAAAAACGAGGCAAGCTATTAACCAACAAGTTGATGAAACAAGGATATCAACAGTCTCTTGTTTGAATTCATCATTTTGTAAGTTCTGTGGTCGATACAATGACCTTATCGGCAAATACAATCCATCATTAGGTCAAATGAGGTGTGGCCAGGGGATGGTTACTCCTCCATGTCACCTGATCCCGCCTCTGATGTTTTTGGTGGTCCGTGTTTAATTGCTCTTCTCCTGAGTTGTATTGTTTAAAATGACTAAGTGCTTGAATACTGTTCGTTATGTCCATAATTCATTTGTTCAAACATGCCCCTTGCGAGTAGGCCAAAGTCACAAAAAGGAGATCAAACTTTGATATTTTCCCGCGTTTCGATAGTATAGCGGGAAAATGTTGTATTAATGACAAGATGTTTATACACATGTAGTGTGGATTGGTCAGAGAGTGACCAATAGAAATTGATTTAGATGTGCAATAGAGAACTGGTTTTAAAGGTTGGTCACTTCTAGCCGCCGATTTAAGCGAGCAACATCAAAGTTTTCATAATTTGTAGATATAAGGAAATTTTTTTTTTTATTAGGTGTACATGTAGGTTGTGAGGTCCGTCGCAATAATTTTTGCATCCAGCGGCACTTGGCAACGGACACAGGTTTCTAGAGTTTTTAAAATTATTTTATCTCTAGTTTTTCCTGGCCGGCCCTGATGCTTTTCAAAATTTTCAAATTATATAATTAAAATATATGCAGCAATTTTTGCAAATTTGATGGTTTTATTTCTCATACAATGTACTGTATGTATATATTGATTTATTGTTTTGTGGAGACTGTCAATAAAATACGGCGTCCAGCGCGCACGCTCGGCTGGCTGTCATGCATAGCATGTTGTTGTTTTTCATGTTGGTATAAAAGTAATGGAGTGAATACGATAAGTCATATCTATATTAAAGCACCCTCAGGTAGGGTAGATTCAATTTTGTTCAAATAATGCTTCTAGGGGCTATGTTTGGCCACAATAGATTAAAATTTACATGTGAATATTAAGGAAAAAATTTAAAAATCTTCTCAAGAACAACAGTGTCATGATTATTCATATTTATATGGATAATATGAAATAATCCTCCTTCATGTTCATGTTCTTCTTCACCCTATAACTATAGTCCTGCTGGACACGTTATTACTGGTGACGTAAATATAGTTAATAATGAGGACCTTAGATCACTAATTTTAAAAGGTCCTAAATATAGGGAACCCGATCCTTTAACTGGCCTCGTAATGTTATACATATTATGGATTCTGTAGAGGATTACACCAGGCGTTGGGTCAGACATGAAAAAGAAGACCTTGACACTTTGTCAGAATGGATTAAATGTATTAGATATATGTTAAAATCTCGCATTAAACGACTGAAGGACGGCATGAAAACCATTTATCCTTCTGTATTCAATAATTCAGAAGTGAAGAAAGAATCAGGTAGATAACACGATCAGTACGTTCTGGTCCCTGCTGACAAAGCAGGTAACAACATTGTCTTTGTTTGTAAGGCTCATTATATAAATTGTATAACTAGGATTTAATTTTACCGGTGGTAATCCAACTTATACCCATAGCTTCCTTTCTAAGGAAGAAATTCTTCAGAATCATATGTCAGTTTTGAATATTTTTAATATTCCCAACAACCAAAATGAATTTGAATTACCATATCTATTTTGAATTCCGAAACTTCATAAAAATCCTTACAAACAAAGATACATAACGGGTTCCAGTAAATGTTCTACCAAGCTTCATTCTTTACTCCTCCGTAAGATATTAACAGTAGTGAAGGAGAACTTCAAGAGTACTGTGC